GAAGCAAGGGTAAACTCAACTCGCAGGTACAATCTATATGGTGGGCCACTCCTGCCCCTAGTGGCCATACATGGAACAGGCGGTCCCATGCCATTATCTTCTAGAGTTCAATTTGGGGAAGTTACTAGGGCCAAGCTGACTTTTGCTCACCCTGATTGCTGATGCCAGAGCAGATCTGTTCCACCCTAGGCCAAGAGAGCTCCAGGAGGTCCGGCTTTCCAGGGACAAAAGAACGGGAGAGGTCAGCTCCAGGCTGAGCTAAGAGCTTTTGCCCACAGATACCCCAACTTGGCCTTACTTATCACCATAAGACCTGTCAAAGAACAACCCCAAAAAACAAGATTGGTTCTGTGCCTCCAAGTGGTAGAGCTCTAGCATTGAACCAAAGAGCTCAGGGACAGGGCCCCCAAGCTTTGAGTTCAAGACCCCCAGCTGACTTCCCCCATAAAACACAGCTTGTCTAAATGTGAACTAGTAGGATTTGTGAAGTGTTTCTGAAGAATGGTGATACTGAAGAAAGCACCCTAATTCTAATGACAGCTGAACTTGTAACATACAGGTATGTGCTGAGTCCTTCACAGGGCGCTACTTACTGGGTCCTTCCCTCATGGGGGTGATGTGTTGAGTCCTCAAAAAGGTGCTGTTTGCTGAGTCACCCCAAGGGTGCTATGTGCTGAGTCCCTGAGAAGAATGGCCATCCTGCGTTTTTCAAAGGGTGCTTTGTGCTGAGTCCATTACACAACGTATTGTATGCTGAGTCCTTCAAAACATGTGGTATGCTAATGCATCCTGAAGGGTCCTGCTATGTGCTGAGCCCTTGAGAAGAGAGGGATGAGGTATATTTTGAGTACTGTGTGCTGAGTCCTTTACATAGGGTGCTCTGTACTGTCCTTCAAATGGTGCTGTGTGCTGAGAGCTTCCACAGTGTGGTATGTGCTGAGTCCTTCAAAATTGTTCTGTGTGCTGAGTTTATCGAAGGAAGATGTGCATTGGGTTTTTTACACAGTGTGCTTCAACACAGAGTGTGATGAGTCCCTGGGAAAGAGTGCTATGTGCTGAGTGTTCAAAGCGTGCCATGCACTGAGTCCTTTACACTGTGGGGTATAGACTCCCTCCTTCAAAGGGTGCTGTGTGCTGAGTACTCTACCCAGCATACTATATGCTGAGTCCTTCAAAGGGAGCTGTGTGCTGAGTCATTTACACAGGGTGCTTTGTGCTGATTTTGGAAGTGTGCTGTGTGCTGAGTCATCCCAAAGGGTGCTATGTTCTGAGTCCTTCAGAGGTTGGTATAACCAACATTCACACACACACACAAAGAAAAACATAATACATACACACACGAGTGTCACCATGCACCTGTTTGATGTGTGGAGTGGAGGGGGTTGGAGGTGAGTATCCTCCTGTGGTAGGTCTGAGGGGAAATTCGATCCCCTGGGCCGGTGCTGGGGGTGGGGTGTAGTGCTGAGCTGAGGTAAGGCTGCAATTGCCAGGGTCTAGAAACCTCAGGGCCCAGTCAGGGCTGCAATTGTGGCCAGAGGTGTGGGGCGGGGCCCAGGGGAGGAGGGGGCGGGGCCCAGGGGAGGAGGGGGCGGGGCCCAGGAGCACACTTTGGTGGCAGCAATGGCCAGGAGCCCAAGGGGGCAGCGGTGTGTGTGCAGCAGGGGCGGGTGGCCCAGGAGAGGAGTGTGGGGCCGAGCGAGAGCTGGGAGAAGAGCGAGCACAAGCACTAGCACCTGTGGAAATGGCTTCAGTGTCCGGCGGCTGCTCCGATCATAGTGTGGGTCCTGGCCGGGAGCGCAGAGCATGCGGAGCCTGCCTGGCAGGCACATCGCCACATGCAGCCCCTCGGAGGCGCCCAGCCATGGTGGCCCTGAGTCTGAGGTCCCGGTGCGGGGAGCACGGTAGAGGCAGTGGCTGCTGAGGCGGCAGTGGCCACCGGATAGGAGGCCGCTGAGGCTGTGGTGGTGGCTGAGGAGGAGCAGAGGCTGTGCGCAGCTCCACCATGTGCCCGCGCTGTGTTTCAAACATGGCGCTGCTGGCTCAGACCCGCGGAGCCTCTAGCAGTCACATGGCGGAGCTGGTGCGCCCCTGGTCTGCTTGTGGCCCTGACTTGGTTCTGGCCGTCGGTCCTCAGACTCCCAGCGCTACCCGGAGTCACAGCCTACAGCTTCTCCCAGCAGCACACGTGAGTGGCCGACCTGCACTCCCACACCCCACAACCCCCCTGTAAACCCCGTCCCCCACTCTACCCTTCCTCCCCACCCTCGCGGACCCAGACCCTTGCCTCTTGCCTCCCATTCCCTTCCTACCTGCGCCTCCCCCGTGCCCCACAGTCTGTCCTGGCTCTGCCACAAATGCACCCCAAGAGTGGAGGGTGGAGGTGGGTGTCCACCGGGGATCCTACCCTCATTCCTAGTGGCCAGTGTTCCAGGTAAAGGGGAACTGCAGGGATGGGTGAGGAGGGGGCACCACAGAGCCCCTGGCCTGGAGCAGTGGGAGCCACACAGCTGTGCTTCTGCAGCCTTCCTCTCCCTGGTGGGAACCTGGTGGCTTTAGTCAGAGGTGGGGAGCAGGACCTCCACACCTGCCTTCTCGGTTTCTTTCCCTTTTGCTGGGCAGGGGGGTGTTGGATGCAGAAGATAGACCCCGTTGTTGTGTGAGCCCTTGTCTTCTGTGCTCAGTCACCTTTTCACCTGAGGACATTCCTGAAAGACCCCAGACTTCTGGGATACTTTCATCAACGGGAGGGCGCCCCAGAAAACTCAGACTCCAGGCCGGGAGATGCAATAAGCAAGAGGAGTTTATTTAACGTTTGCGCAAACGGTCTCTCTGACTCTGCACAGGAGAGAGCCCGAACCGCGGTTACAGGCATTCTTAAAGGCAAAAACCACAAGATTAGCATATAAAACCAGGTATCCCCAGGATTGGCCCGTTTAAAAGTCACTCTGTACTCCAGCACTCATTTTTTTTAATGTGGGGAAGTTTATAACACTCTTTGTAATAAAACAATTGGTGCGGATGATCAAATGGAGGTAGTCACTCTGGGAGAAAAGGGTTAGGGAGTTTACAAAGTTACAGGCTTGTGATTGATTAACATTTGGCCTAGTTTGCTGGACTTGCCAGGTGGTCCTTATCTTGGGTCCCTATCTTGGGTCCCATTTAGCCACTTCGGGAATTTTCAAACAGGAACCAGAAAAACATACCTGTTTGTTCTTTATCTATGACCACGAACCTTGTCCCAGGGGCGGGCAATGCCCAGCATCTGGGCTCCGAGAGACTTTTTACTCAATTACTTATTTCCAGAAGGGAGGGGGGTTAGTGCTAGGGCGAGCAAGTTTACAAAACCAAAACCAGCAGTTAGCAATTGTAACATGTAACTCTAATTTTTAATTTTTCAATTCCCAGAAGTGCCCACTAGAGAGGTGAGGGCACTGGGGTCAGATAGAAGGTAGGTATTTGGGAGAAAAACACACCCCCTCTGACACACATACAACCGGCCTGTACCCCCAACCCCAGCATTCAACAGTTCTGACTGGGAGATCACATTTCCCAGTTCTGCCAGCTTCTGCTAGTGCTCCCAGTCCATCTGGTCTCCTAGTCCTCCCCAAGAATTTGCCAAGTTGCCCAGAAGTATGTAGGAGGGAAGTAGGGAGTCCAACCATGTATACAGCCTTTAGGACCCCATCAAAGTTCCCAACAACACCCCTCCCCAGGTCAGACAGCTTTCTGGAGGCACCTGCTTTGTTTTCTGTCCAGGCTCTGAGAAGTCATGTGTCTCGGGACTCCTTCACCCAGCGCCCTGGCCTAGGGTTTTGGTGAATGGGGAGTCAAGGCTGGTTGTTCCCAATGGGAAGACTATGACCCTGGAGAGAGGGAGAGTCAGGGTGGTTCTGCATTATTAGAGCATTGTTCCCCTTGGGTGAGATCCCCTGGTTCTGATAAGGAAACCGCTGTGCTCCAGCTAGTACATTGCCCAGATGAGAAACCAACAAACTGAGGAGAGACACTGCTCTGAATCTGTGTATGTGTGTGTGTGTGTGTGTGTGTGTGAGAGAGAGAGAGATCATCTTTCTGAATGTACAGTCACCATGTCTAAAAAGAGCAAAAGCATTTTATTTGTGTGTATGTGTGTATTTGTTTTTCTTTTTCAATTAATGCCCAGTATGAGCATGTTTTCTCTTTCACCGTTTCATGGCTCCTTTAGGGAAGGTTTCAGTAGATGTTCCTTTCCACCTTTTTCTTCCCCTTTCCTGCAGCCAACAGTAGCTGCTGGACCTGCGTGGGTCTCCCCTAGGAGGCCTGTGTGAACCGCAGACCAGAGTGGACACCTGCTCTTCTGTCTTCAGCCAGAAGGCTCATGAGGCTACTGTGACCACAGCCGCACTCTTCCAGCCAGACAGTCTGTTCTGGTGTGTATAGTTGGAGCTAATTCAAGGTTGGGAATGAATCTGCCAAACATAAATAGAGAATGAGATGGGAGGTAGTAGGGCAGGGTCTGTGAATCTAGGAGGGTCTGGGAAGTAACGAATGGTGTGACATAGCAGATAGTTCACCATGACTGAGGATGAGAGGGGAATCTTACCCAGGGTATTGATGGTGTACGTGGACATCTAGGCAGGGGGCTCCGGGCGCCCAATGGTGACATGGATTCCCTCTAGGGGCAGTGCACTGGTGGGTAGTCCTCCCAGGAGTCCTGCAGACTCCAATCTGTGTCCCTCCTGGGCTGTTTCCAGCTGGGCAATGGTAGGCAAGTGTGTTCCCCCTGCTGGAGCCTACTTGGGATCAGGACATGGCAGTTAGCTAGGGCTCTCTGAATGCCATTTTCTGTAACCTGCCTGGAAGGAAAAGGGGACCACTGACTTTGGAACCCTTTAAGCTTGATTTGGACAAGTTGAAATGCCAGCTTTTCCAGGGTTTTTTCTTGAAGCTGGCAATTTCTACTAATGCTTGGGATTATGGGTCAAATGAGATGGACCATTTCAGCCACCAAACAATGACATTCAAGCAGCACAAGCAGAGTTCCTGAGCCAAATATTCCCGTGCTGTGAACGATGTGCCTTGACTGCCTTTCTCCAGCAGCTGCCAATTCTCCTCTGGCTCTCTCTAGGGTGATCACTACAGTTGAGGATGTTGTGGGGAGCAGAGATTGTGACCTTGCCATCTGCAGCCTGATCACTGTGAGCAGAGACAATTCCCAGGACCTGTACTGGACTCTGAGAGATTCAGAGACCCAGGATGCCTCAGGGATCCTTTTCTGCACCATGAAAGTTGGGGACAAGATATGGTGGACCATCCTGTCTGGCCCTAGGGAGTGCAGAGGAAGCCGCTTGAGCCAGGCTTTTGCCTCACGACAACATTGTTCACAGCTGAGTGGGGAATTGAGTGCCATACAGCTGGTCAGTGGCTGGACAGAGATCCTTGAGAAGATAGGCATCCCAGAGGCCCCAGAATACAGTGAGTACATCATGGCTCACGTCCTTGGAACCAAAAGAGTTAAGTGCGGTTGCACCAGGAGGGTGTGAAGACGGAGGAGGGAGAACTGTGGGAGAGCTACATCAGGCTTTACCCCCACCCAGGATGCTTACCTGAGTGGGATGGGACTTTTCTGTAGTATTGTCATAGACAGATGCTCATCTATTTATCTAACAAAATGTTACAGTGTGTGCCAGTTCCTGGGGGAGAGAGGGAGGGGGTCATACACAATGAAAGTTCCAGTGCTGGTTCCACAGCACATGAAGAAATCTTGGTTTGAGCTGGATGCTGGTGCCTCACACCTGTCATCCTAGCTACTTAGGAGGCTGAGATAGGAGGATTGAGGCTTAAGGGCCAGGCAGAAAAGCCTGTATGACTCTTATCTCCAACTGACTACCAAAAAGAAAATGCCAGAAGTGGATGAGTAGCTCAAGCTGTAGACTGTTGGCCTTAAGTAAAAAGGCTCAGGGACAGCACGTAGGCTCTGAATTCATGCCCAGGAGTGACACAAAGAAAGGAAAGAGAAATAGAGTTGGGAAGGATGGAGAGAGAAAAGGAGGAAAGGAAGGAAGAAAGGAGCATGCAAGCCTTGGTTTGGAGTCCCTGGATCAAGGGAGCCAACCATTCACAATCTCTGTGGGGACAGTTTCAGAGCCTAAAGCTAGTGTGTAGGACCAACTCACTGACCCATTCATGACATCAGCAACTTCATGACATCCAAATCTAAGTGGTCGCTGACTGCAGAGGGAAACAGCCTCAGGTAGACCCTAGGGCTCAGGGTGGGTCACAGAGTTTCAATCTCCCCTGGCTCACGAAGTTAATTTTTTGGTCAGATAAGAAGAAACTGTCCCAGGGCTAGGGAGGTATAGGGTGAGGGAGTGGCAAGACCCGGGTGGCAAGAGATCAGCAGGTAGATGAAGAGGGAGGACAATCCCAGATCCAGTGTGTCAGGTCATTGGAGCCATGACTTCAACTGACAACCTAGACCATCAATGATAGAATCTGCAACCCAGCCACATGGCTATTAAAAGTCCTGGCACTCTGGGTTCACCGTTGACAACCTGTCTGTCTTCCACTGCAGGATGCCTGTGCAGTACATCCTTGGGGACTGGGACTTTTGCTGGCTCAATCTGAAGATGACATCCCCAGTGTTCATTCCTCAACTAGAGACAGAGGTAAGCGTGCCACTGGAACAGGACACCCAGGGAATAAGGGCGAGAGTCAGACCCGTGTTGTTCTGAGACTTCCTCTAGGGGACTTTGGGCCCTGTGACTACCTTTCTGGCTCAGCCTTTAGTCTAGAAGGCAGATGTGTGATTTAGAGAGGGCGGACTGAAGGTTGAGGCTGGTGAGAAAACCAGAGGCACTGGGCTCTGAGCAGGGTTGTTTCTTTGAGGATACTCACAACCCAGGAACATTCCTGAGATGGATCAGCCCTTTTCTCCTCCTTGAGAGAGAGGGACCTAGAGCCCTCCAGTCTGCATTCC